ATAGAGAAATTGGTTTCTCACGACATAATAGCATTTGAAAGTTGAGTACAAATTTAATGATTGAATTGAATTGACATTCAGAGCAACGGTTCGGAAATTATGGAAACATAAGAGGTATTGATATAAATCAGAAGAACTTTGCATTCGTTCAGTTCGAGCGCATAGAAGAGGCACAGAATGCCTGTCAGTGTGAGAATGGATCCAATTATGGCAACAAGAAAATCGGTGCTATATTTCACTCACTTTTGACTCAATTATCAAAATGTAATGTCTTTTATGCGATCCCTTAGAGGTGCGCCTGTTTGACAAGAGCGGTCATCCCACCAAAGGTCGGCCCAAGAATGGCAATCCCAATAGGGATAGGAGTCGTAGCCCACAAAGAGGGCCAATGGGTAATCGGCCTCCAATGGGTGGACCCACAGGGACCAGACACGGATCTATGATACCAAATATGAATCAATATATGGGTGATGAGTACCCGCCATATCAGGCACCGCCGCCAATGCCCTCTACAGAACCAGTGGTCGGCAATGAGATCGAAATCATTGTCGTTAGTAAAGAGCAATGGTTTGTGTTATTTGTGAAGTATTGTATAGTTTGTAATCCAATGCCTGTATTTAGGGGTTACGCCGATATGATTGAGAAACGCATTAAACAGGAGTCTGGGATCCGTTTCATTGATATGCTGTTTCTTCATTCGCCCGCTTCTCTTAATCTTACACTCAATGATCTCTTTGCGAGGTTTTGTCTATAACTTCAACGTTTCATTACCCGTTACTAAGTGATTGTATTTTGCAGACAAACTTTGTATGCGTTAGTCATCGCACCCGTCAATGAGGAACATATGTCTGTCACTCTTCACGTCCTCCACAACCAAACGGGTATTGTTTTAGATTTTTATATTCTTTTGTATGCTTCTAACGACTTATGTCATGACTGAAGAGCACCGAAATATGCCTCTGGAAGACGCCATCCAATTGATAAACAATGACTTCAGAGCATTCAATGAGTCGGGAGGTGTGGGCCCCACGGGGCCGATGCC